CCGAAGGGAACATAAAGTTAGAGCTAGTTGTCGGTTTGGTCAATTTTTGTCGGCTGGACCTCCCATTTCGCAGGCCTAAAATTTGAAAACCTGGAACATAGTGGAAGAAGAACACGCATCTTGTAGAGCAGACAATTCTCTTTCGAATGGTATATGACTCGATGTAAAAGCATGGGGATTTAGATGAAAATTTTTTGGTTGAAAAAAAGCGACACTATTTATGAGACAACCTAATAGAATGCGTGCCGTCTCCCAAGAGGGATTGATCAACGGCAAAAGCTTTATCCTTTTTCCTGTAAATAAAAAAATGAATTGGGAAAAAAGGGGAAGTAAGAGAGCTTAGGAAACCATTCGAAACATGGCCACAGTCACAGTCACAAAGTCACTCTTGGAATTAAAATTTCTTTGAATCGAAGTTTATTTCTTCGAATTCTTGAATTATTCTTCCCCCCAGATTCATGAAGGAGTTGGTTTGTTGTTGTTTGCCTTCGGAGCTTTTTTTTCGTTTCACACTACGTCACTTTACCGTCACTTTAGCTGTAGGGAATTTAAATGTGCTTTGTTTCTTCTATTTCAAAAAACGAGAAGAGCCTCGAGTGCAGACCACACACTACAAGTGACGACATCCAACGAAAAAGTGGCTTTTTCTTTTCTTTTTTTCTCAGTCGTTAGCGAGCTGTCTTTGTATCGTAAAATCTTCCTTTAACTTTTTCATTTCATCACGGAAGGCTCGAGCGGCTTTAAGTTTCATGTTCGAGATAAGGGGCGCGGTAAGCAGCGTGGCAAGCAGGAGCGAACATGAATTGCATACGGGATCTATAAAACGTTTTTAGAATACGCCACGCACACTCCCACTATGCAGAATTGTTGGTAGTATATGAATTTTTTCACCCTTTAGCATAGCCAGTGGAGCGAGCCGATATACGAGTCAGAGTTTTTTCTCCGCAAACAGGCAGACAGGTTTAGTACCAGGCAACTCCTGGAGGCAGATTGGTTTGGTCGGTCGGGATGGGATTCGAGTCTGGAAGGCGGGCATTCTCAGTGGCGCCCAACTTACCACCCAACTGCCTTCGCAGTTGATACAATGCTGAATCGGGTGTTACGAATTCGCCTGTTGTTTCTTGTTATATTCGCTTTTTGATGTCAGAGTTCCTGTTACTTCATGTTTTTCACATTTAATCACAAGTCATCTGCCACGTGGCATGTATCGAACTACGGTAGGACCCAATGCCTGAAGCTGTCCGCCTTCAGTCTGCGCAGGGCTTGTGTTTCTGCAGGTGTAGTACCCTCGCCTTCAAATGACCAGAAATTGTGCAATTGCAGAAATTGACGTGGCATTGGCACACGTGGCTAGAAGTGCAGGACGCAACTAGAGGTCGCGTCACTTCCCTACTTCGAAAAGCGTCATTAAGACGCTAGGCGCTAAGAACTTTGACACGCTCCACCTGTTGCGACACGCTCCGCCCACCGCTCGATATCTTGTCTGCGTCGCTAACTTGATCTGCTATGCTCTCTCTACTCGGACTTCTCTACCGCTCTCCGCGCTCACATTATCTCTCATCTCCCTGCCGGCCTTTTGAACTTCTCCGCAACGTAGAGCAAAAGGCTCGTATTTCCTGTGTATTTCACGATTTTTTTTTTTTTCTCCACTGGCGGTCCACTTCCCACCCTAACTTCACATTTGAGTAGAATTACCTCATCAATTTCAATCCTGAATCTTGCCTTTAAGTTTGATGCATTCAAGGGTAAGATTTAATGGCACTGCGGCGAAACGCATTTTCACACATTTGATGTCTAGTTCCTGTTTTTCTTTGTTATGAACAGAGCTGACCCTTTTGGAGAGGAGGACAGCAAAGCCTCCACATGTGTGAGCAATTTTTATTGTTCTTGCAGTTCCTGTGTCTCCTAGACATAGACTGTGAGCGGTCTATAGCTCGAAAGCTGCCTCAGTAAAAATTCAAAAGTTATAGATGGCCAGCGCTATGAGGCGGAACCCGGGCCTTATCGCATGGATCCGGCACTTATGGTTAGGACTGAGCCATAGAAGGAGCAGGAACAAAAGATGAAAAGGGAATTGCTCACCCCTTTGGGATCTCTCCTCCCCGCCTAGGGTCTATTCCCGTTTTTGACAAAAGCAGTTGCTTTACGTGGTTTCCAAGGCATTGCCACCACGATGCCCCCGTACTTTGCGATAGCGCCACTCTTCGCCACAGGCAAGAATTGAACTCGCACCTCTCGCCTCCTAGAAAGCGAGAGGTAAGAGTTCGATTCCGGCCTGCGGCAAAGTGTAACCCAACAATATTGTAGTAACTTTCTAATGGCGAACTGCAGCCAAAAACAAGTCAAAGTTCATGCTTTATTTGAGGCACCATAACTATTGCTGCCATGGTGCTGACAGAAGAATAACAAAAATTAGAGCAGTGTGAAAAATGAAAACAAAAGATGAATTTCGCTTGCGTAAACGAACTTTCCCCGCCTGTGCAACTGCATTGTTACTTACGCTTTCAACATCAATTTTGATCTATCGGAAGTATTGAGGTCGTCCATTATTTCTCCGGTAAAGATTTATGGAACCACAATTTCAGATCTGATGATATTCAAAAAGCGCTAGATGTTCAAACCGATCCTGAGGATATTTCGGCCGTTGGTTGGTTGGAGTTTTGGAATCACCATCCTCCTCACGTCACTCTTTGGATCCTACATCATATCGCTGTGAGATTCTGTATTTTTGTTATTTCTGGACATCACGGCTGTAAGTGGAGCGAAATGACGTCATCTTACAGATTTTTAATTCTTATTGTGTTGGGCAAGCACAAAACATGGCGCTCTTTGATGGATCGCTCAGTCAGCTTCTGGATGATGGTGCCAATAGTAAGTCAGAGTACGTTCACCTATTCACAGCGAGTATACATTACAGGATATTGATTCGAAAAAACGGCCACGAATAAGCTTTCCGCGTTGTTTTTCGGTTGGGCCGCAGCGTTTCCTAGTTAGGCGATCGCCATGTGTGTTGCGAGTAGGGATTAGCGTGATCCCTCAGGAGCGGAGTCAAATAGTCGACACGGTTATGGCCAATGTTTACTCGCCTGATCGCTCCGCCAACTCACGTACATACTCGCCTTTCACTACTCGCCTAATTTTTTTTAAATTGATTTTTTGTATGTTATGATTTATTATCGGTGTTGATAATCCACAAAATAGCACATGATAATGACAGGTAATAAATCGAACCAATCGAGAGAAAGAAAAAATTGGAAGACCTAAAATAATTTAAAAGTGGTTGGATGAAGGGGAGGGGAGAGGTTTGGGAACGATGCTTGGGCACGAAAGAGCGCTATCATTGCCCTAAGGTCTTAAACAGTCTAATTCCTAAGTGTCGTGTTTTCTTATGATTAGTCGTTAAACCGCCTGATTCGCATAAGCGTTGCGAACTAGAGAGTGCATTACCTGTACGTTGGCAATGGCCGCATTAATCCCGATAACTTGCATTGAACAGACGATGTTGAGTCAAGTGGAGCGTTGAATGTAGAACCGATGTCATAACTTACATGATCCGCAACTGGGAATTTCTTTCCTCCATGATATTTAGGAAGCTCAGGTAGGTGTTAACCCACCACCTTGAGCTTCCCCTAAAATATGATGGGTTATGCTTGTCACGTTGATAGCATCTCTCTTATGTGCTGAATTCTTTATGCCAGAAAGCGCTCAGTGTTTGCTATTTTCGTCTTATTAAATGCACATCTCAGGATGTGTTCAGTGTATCAATCCAATTGATGGGTAGAGCTGTCCGCTGAACCTCTAAATGTTCCATTTCCACCGGCTCGAACGAGGCATTAAAAGAGCTCCAAGCACGTCAAAATTGTCTCGACCTTTCGGCTGCTAAGCCGCCTAATTCGGTGTTTCGCGACGGATTTGTCGCCACTGTCGCTCCACTTGCACGTCCTTTTATTTTCGCTGAAAAACCACGCACAATTTGAACGTGGACTGTGCGCTGTAGATCGCAAGTAGAGTTCGTTATCAAACTAGTTCTTTTCATTCCTGGGGATTAATCGGTAACGACCGTCATTCACACGGTATCACGACTCTTTCTAGGGTTTCCTGGAACTGATCTTCGGAATGCGCGTACGAGTGTCTGGCGACGAGATCGACTACAGTGAGCCGGCGCTCATCATTATGAATCATCGAACGAGGTATGATTCATAGATTTATCAGGTCTCCAGATTCACTTCCATTTTCGAAACGTACCGGGGGGCGCACTGTCTTACGGTAAACTAAGCGGAGATGCTTGACGATTCTAACGTAGCGTATAGTATCTGATGCCTGGCTCATCTAGTGAAAAAACCAGTGAGAAATAGAAAGTGGTACAATTTAGCTAAGCTGTCAATGTATACGCCTGCAGGATCAGGAATTAGGGTGGTGGGAAGAGCGGCATTACTTATGTTTTCTCTTATGTTTCTAGAGCGTAATAACTAAAGGCTATAGAAGACGTAGCGGCATCTGGTTTTAAGATACAGCGTGATTTGCATGAAATTGACTGTTCAGTAGACGGTACGACAATAACAAGGCCTTGGGATTGGAGGTAAAGTTGACTGGGGAGTTGCGTCGTTATCAAGACTGTGCTAGAAGGGTAGCATCACACATCTTTGTTAATGAGGGATTAGCGAGCAGGGTCAACCTGCGGGCATAGGCGTTGGAAGCATGGTCGTGATTAATGTGCTGGGCAGCTCTAACTGGTCGTCGAAATGAGTAGGCTTCTTCAGGCCAAACGTAATCCAAATGGGAAATTCCAATTTTTCAATCGAGCTCTTCCGCATGTGGTTTGATTTTAGGCTTGATTGGATGTATATGTGGTCGGCACTGTATCAGATGAATCCATGGTTGATTACCTCCAACAAAATTTCACTCAAAGCCCAATTGCAAAGCCTTCCTGGAGCGGGTGAGTGATCTCCTTGAGGTTACGTCTCTCTCAAGCATGACTTATCTTTCAGGATTCGGCATGTCAGCAGCGCAGTTCATGTTCTTGCATCGAAACAAAGAGAAAGACGCAGCTACATTTGACGAAGCTATCGCTTACTATAAAGATATGCAAAATAGTTATCAGGTTTGTCGGTTAACAAGGAGAATGCGACTATAATTCAGTCCGTAATAATGTGAATTTACCTAAAAATTTCCAAAATACTCGCTACTGAAGGTGCTTTCGAAAAGGCTGCCAAGTGAAAAAGAGCTGAAGGCTGATTGCCGATCTCCTGATGATTTTCTTCTCCATTTCTGTTCTGTAAAAGGGAAAGATTCGCTTTGAGGAGGAGAAGGATTGCGGGTAAAAAGGCACATTTAAACGATAACAGACTTACCTTACTTTACTCAACATATGGTTAGATACATCTTTTACGAAAACTCAAAAATCGCACCACCATCGGCCACGATACTCAGCCTTCAATCGCTGATGACTGACCTATTCCGTAGATGTAGATCTTTTTTGAATAGTTTGCATATTTTTATCAGATTTCCATAGTTTCTACATATGTTTACTATAATTTTTTTAGGTGCTTCTGTTCCCTGAAGGTACGGACAAGTCTCCGTGGACGACAACAAAAAGCTCAGAGTTCGCGAAGAAAAATGGGCTAAAGGAGCTGAAAAATCTGCTGTATCCACGAGTGGCCGGATTCTTTCATCTGCTTCACAAAAATGAGAGAAGGTACGATTGGCAGAAGACCGTTAGTTTGCAAAAAAAATGCTCAACTACTTCTTTATTACGGCATTATATATGACATTTTGATGCTTCTACGAGTCCTTACAACCCAAATGGTTGGTTTTTTCAGCGAACTTCATCACATACGTCTACGACGTATCCATTGCATACCCTTACAACATTGTTCAGTCGGAGGTTAGTGATTTTTCTTCAAATAATATTTCTCGAAAGTAGCTAGTGAGAGTCATCCGTAGAAGGTGCTGAGAAAGCTAAAATAAAGCCCTTTTCGGTACTCATATGAATATGAGTATTGCACAAGCTTACGGTGAGTAGACAGTAGGCACCGCGAGAGGGCGTAGAAATCAGGGTGGCGAGAAAGCATGGAGAAGAGGCGCATATGCCACCGAAAGACG